GCACACCCACACACACACACACACACACACACACACACACACACACTCACTCACTCGCTCACTCACACTCACACGCTCCATCACCTGAGACACACACACACAGACAGATACACACACACACACACACCTACAGCACATGCTCCATCACCTGAGACACACACACACTCACTCACTCACACACACACACAGACACACACACACACACACACACACACCTACAGCACATGCTCCATCACCTGAGACACACACACACACACACACACACACACACACTCCCTCCCTCGCTCACTCACACTCACACGCTCCATCACCTGAGACACACACACACAGACAGATACACACACACACACACACCTACAGCACATGCTCCATCACCTGAGACACACACACACACACACACACACACACACACTCCCTCCCTCGCTCACTCACACTCACACGCTCCATCACCTGAGACACACACACACAGACAGATACACACACACACACACACCTACAGCACATGCTCCATCACCTGAGACACACACACACACACACACACACACACACACTCCCTCCCTCGCTCACTCACACTCACACGCTCCATCACCTGAGACACACACACACAGACAGATACACACACACACACACACCTACAGCACATGCTCCATCACCTGAGACACACACACACACACACACACACACACACACTCCCTCCCTCGCTCACTCACACTCACACGCTCCATCACCTGAGACACACACACACAGACAGATACACACACACACACACACCTACAGCACATGCTCCATCACCTGAGACACACACACACACACACACACACACACACACTCCCTCCCTCGCTCACTCACACTCACACGCTCCATCACCTGAGACACACACACACAGACAGATACACACACACACACACACCTACAGCACATGCTCCATCACCTGAGACACACACACACACACACACACACACACACACTCCCTCCCTCGCTCACTCACACTCACACGCTCCATCACCTGAGACACACACACACAGACAGATACACACACACACACACACCTACAGCACATGCTCCATCACCTGAGACACACACACACACACACACACACACACACACTCCCTCCCTCGCTCACTCACACTCACACGCTCCATCACCTGAGACACACACACACAGACAGATACACACACACACACACACCTACAGCACATGCTCCATCACCTGAGACACACACACACACACACACACACACACACACTCACCAGCTTCACACACACGATGAACGGCGGCGATGCGTTTGTGAAGTGCAGCACAGGAATCCTGGGTTTGGGCCGTTCCTGAGAGAAACACAGAAAACGAGTGAGTGTTTAACCACAATATCAGCGTTTCACTGTTTAATAATTGGTTATTAATAAGCTCAAGTGAGTGTGGGTTCATCTCTTCATCTTCAGATAACCGCTCTTCTGCAGGAAGTGACTGTTCCTGTGGTGATTGCGGCAGTTTTGGCTGCTGCGCCGTGTGCTTTCCTACACTAATGTGGCTAATGATGGATTTTCCAGGACATTAATAAGTCAGCGCATGTACTTCTGCAAACAGCTGACGGCTAATCTGTGTCTGAGCATAAACACGGATTCATTACTAACGTTAAATATGCATAACTAATCACGATTCTGCATTTACATCAACCATGTTCCCATGAAAATGTTCCCAGCTGAAACTATGATTATGCTCCTGCTTTAAAGCATATATAACCACTATAATTCTGCATTAAAGTGAGTGTTTGATCATAAAGTGATTGTAATGAATTGAAGCGACTCACCTTCGACTCCTCGTACGTGTAAAAGCCTTTCTGAATTTTGTTCTCATCTACGTCACAGAACGCTTTCACCTGCGATCACAAACACAATAAAGAACAACACAACCTCTTCATTTCCTGAATTATTAAACATGAATTAACTAACTATTGAATATGAATTCATTATTGCAGTGCTGTGGTGTTCTGGCTGGTTGCTAAGGGCAGTTTCTAATGGATTACTAGAATTAAATTTTGTCTTAATATTTATAAATTAATAATAACAACAATTACCACATTATTACCACAAATGTAAACTCTAATTTAAATATGATTATTTATTTATTTTAGTATTTTTAAGCCCCTTTAGTGTTTTAAATAATAATAATAATTATTATTTATTTACTTCATCCGGTATTTAGGTCCGGTATTTTAAGTAATACTAATACAAATAATAATTAATCATTTATTTAGATAATTTTAGATTTTTAATTGTTATTATTTAATTTATTGTAGTATTTTTTTAAATCCCTTTAGAACTTTTAAGTACTTGGTAATAAAATAATAACATTATAATTATTATTATTAATAATATAAAAAATATATATATCTGTGTATTTTAAAATCCATTTTGCATTTCCTTATATTACTGTAGGAAGGAAACATCTAATGGTTATGTTTTGAGCGGTTATCTTCTTCTGATTACAAGTCCCTTATATAATAATATATGTTATTCATATTATTAACACAAATTTTATTTAAAAATGTTAGTGTTTTTAAATTCCTAACCAGTGTTGGGGAAAGTTACTTTTAAAAGAAAATGCATTACAATATTGCGTTACTTTCCATAAAAAGTAACTAATTACGTTACTTAGTTACTTTTTATGGAAAGTAATGTGTTACATTACTTTTGCGTTACTTTTTAAATAGAAGCAGGGCTTGATTGTTTTTAATATAAGAAGTTCTATTTATAGCAAATATAAAAGCCTTCACACCAAAAAGTGTAATGATTAAACCTCACGTCTTGAAAAAAAGTAATGCGTTTCTTTACTAGTTAATTGAAAAAAATAATGTGATTACGTAACTCGCGCTACTTGTAATGCGTTACCCCAAACACTGTTCCTAACTAATTAATAATAAGTGTGATCATGATGATGATGATTTTAAATTTATTTAAATTATTTTTAATTAATTATTATTTTAGTATTTTAAAGTGTGTTCTGTATTTCCTGATATTATCGCTTATAAAGACGAGGAAGTGTCCAGCGGTTCAGTGTTTGGATCCGGTACCTTCTTCTGATTGGTTGGACTCAAGCTGCGGTAGAGTCTGCGGCCCTGTTTCCCAGCGTTCCATACGGTGAAAGATTCCCATTGGCTGAGCACTCGCTCCTGCAGGAAGTGGACGCGGAGACTCCAGATGGTCTCTCTGAGAGCAGAGGACAGGAGAGGGTTAATGAAGTCTCTCACATCACTCACACACTGCAGCGACAGTGAAGGAAGCAGAAGCGCTTCAGGTGGAAACATGCTGCTTTGGGTTATTTCAAGAGCACTGAGCTTCCTCTGCGCACATCCCTCACCCTGCAGCATTATAAAACCATCTGAAATCCATCAATCAGCACTCAGCACACACACAGAACGAGACTGACAGACAGCTGCGGCCCGCTGGACCCACCGAGAGAAAATAAGCGGAATCCCTGAGTCACAGGATGCCACTCATTCCAGACAGAGACAGATAACACACACACACACACACAGAGAGAGAGAGAGAGAGAGAGACACACACACACACGCACACGCACACGCACACACACACACAAAGACCCGTGAGAATATGAGGATCTTGAAATATTTTTCCCACTGATAAACTGTTAACAAAAACAACATTCAAGCTGAATGTGTCACGCGGGATTATAAAACACGTGCTTTCATTGCATGTCTGGAAAATCATTTTTCAATGATTGACAGTCATAATAAAATACATTTTAATTATTAATTAAACTACTAGTTTTTAATATTTAATAATAATAATTTTATATTTTATATTTTAAAAGACCCTTCAGTATTATAGCTCTATTATTATTATATTAATAATAATAATATTTCATTCATATTTTTAAATACCTTCAGTATATTAACTTAACTACTATTGATAATAATAATAATAATAGTTGTTATTATTATTATTAATTAAACTACTAGTTTTTAATATTTAATAATTTTTATTTTATATTTTAAAAGACCCTTCAGTATTATAGCTCTATTATTATTATATTAATAATAATAATATTTCATTCATATTTTTAAATACCTTCAGTATATTAACTTAACTACTATTGATAATAATAATAATAGTTGTTATTATTATTATTATTATATTTAGATTATATATAATTTATAATGCTTAATTATTTATTTGTTTATTTTAGTATTTAAAGTCCCTTCAGTATTTTAAATACATAAATTCAGTATTTAAATACATATATATTTAAAATAAATACTAAATCATACAAATAATACATAACTTTATTTATTCATTATTGTAATTATTTTGATTATATTTAGCTATTTGTTTATTTTTAAGTCCCTTAAGGGTTAACTAATTAAAAAAATAATACTAAATATTATTTATGTATTTATTTGTTTGTATGTTTGCTAGTTTGTTTATACTTATTTTAGTATTTTAAGTCCCTTCAGTATTTAAAATAATCTTAATGTTATTTATTCATTAATTTGTAATTATTTTAATTAATTATTTATTTATTTTAGTAGTCCTTTCAGTATTTTAAATACTAACAATACATAACTTTATTTATTAATTTATTGTTATTATTCTGATTATATTGAGCTATTTTTTTATTTTTTTAAGTCTCTTCAGTGTGTTAACTAATTAAAAATAATACTAAATATTATTTGTATTTATTTATTTTAGTATTTTAGGTCCCTTCAGTATTTTCAATCATTTATATTAATAATGTTATTTATTCATTCATTTGTAATTATTTTAATTCATTATTTTTAGTTATGTATTTTAAGTCCCTTCGGTATGTTAAGAATAATTTATAATAATTAAGTCCCATGAGAAAGAAAACAAAAACACACCGATAAACTGTTTTAACTGTATTAAACTCTATTCACGTGCAGTGTTTCTCTGGAAATATCTGGCATGCCTGTGTTTCTTTGACTGACAGCACTATGTTGCAGTAGGGACTGTAAACAGACTCACTCCAGCACTGAATGAGTAGCTGCGTGTTCATGATAGCGATAAACCAGCAAACACTCATCCACTCGGATCGCGTGACCTCCGCGACGAAGACTCTGGTAGAAGAAGAGCAGATCCTCAGGAACGCCCTGATAGAGAATCAGTTCAGACGAAAGGCTGATCAAGAGATGCATGTGTAATTTAGCATCAGAAGAGCCTCACCTTTCCTCCCTCGTTAAACGGACCCACTTTCTCAAACCAGTCACGAGAACAGAACCAGGTGGGCATGATGACCGTCGGCCCGTGCGACGTGTACACCTGATTTAGGACAGAAGTCAATACTTTATTCATTAAAGACTGATGAAAAGTGACAGTACAGACATTTATAATGTTACAAAATATTTCTATTTCAAATAAAGTCTGTTCGTTTGAACTTCCTATTCATCTGTGAATCCTGAAAAATAAAATGCATCACAGTTGCCACAGAAATATTGGGCAGCACAGCTGTTTACAACATTGATAATAATCAGAAATGTTTGTTTGAAATTTGAGAAGCAAATCAGCATATTAGAATGATTTCTGAAGCATCACGTGACACTGAAGACTGGAGTAATGATGCTGGAAATTCAGCAGTGCATCACACCAATGAATGTTAACAGATATTCACATAATAATATTTTTTTTTCTTCAGATTTTTACTGCAATTTTGATAAAATAAATGCAGCTTTAGTGAGCAGAAGAGATTTAAAAAAACAAAAACAGAACTAAATCATCTGAACGCTAGTGTAAGCAGGCATTTAGCATCAGTTAATTTTACTATCCTCATAAAGGCAAAATGCTTAAAGAATCAGAGCCAATCAGATCATATTCGTATTCATATTCATTTATGTGGAGTGTGATTTTGGACCAATACGATTTCACTATGGGCTATTTATGACAAAAACAACACATTAGCAGTTTCTTTACTGCAAGCGACAGGATTTGTTGCATTGGTTAATGTAAACACGCATGATGAAACAACAAATAATACCATCAAAACTTATAAATGCATTTAAAATCTGAGTTTTTGTCCACCAATCAGGATGTTTGGTCTCCATTTCTCACTGATGTGTTTAGTAGCTCCGCCCAAAGCAAATTATCATTGGTCCAAAATCACTGAACATTAAACATCAAATATGTTCTGACTGTCTGTGATTGTTTTGCAGCATTACAGCTTCCAGTCTGAGAACAGACCGATCCTGTCACACAGCGTCTGGCAGATAATAACCATTAACATGTTCTCAACACTCTCTAATCACACACACAATTTACTTTGGCCGCGTGTGTTCAGACCGAGAGTTAAAGATCAGGGAGAGCTAGACGCTCATGACATTGAACACACACACACACACACACACAAAGAGAAAGAATGAAAGACGGAGTGGAGGGAGGAAAGGCAGGAATATTTCAATGATGACAAAATAGATTAAATCAGTGATGTGTTTCAGGGCAAATAAACTAACTAGAGCACTGGGATCTGTGTGCACTTAGGGATGGGAGACATGGACTTAAAAATACATCATGATATTTAGCTATTTATTGCGATAATTATATAAATGACGATAACTCTAACTAATATGCATCCACTGAGAGACCAAAAAACCCCTGTTTCTTTAGAGAGAAGTATTATCTTGCCTATTTTTACCAAAAAAGCACATAGGCAATGCAGTGTCGGTTTCATTACGGAGGTAACAGAACTGATGACGTTCCAGGAAATCCCTAATATGGGTGATACCACTTGTTTTATTTCGATACGATACTTTTGAAGGCCAGTATCGTCGATATCGATACAATACTTCACAACTGAACTTTTCAATTATGACATTTATTCACTTATTACATTACTAAGAGTAAAATGGGTAATGATACCCACTTATCTTTATATTTGAAATGCATTTTAACATTCAATACGCCTTAATTGCAACATATTAGGTTTTTTTGTTTACACATGGCTAAAATATGAAATGTAACCATGGAAATCTACAAATACTATAGTTGAACTACGGTCACTTTAGTAAAACCATGGTTGATTTTCATAAGGGACTGCCAGTGACGGGCTATTCTGACAGTGTATGATTTATATTAACATTACAGAATAGAACATGACCAATATGAACTTTTAATATTCAATATAAATGAATGTATTTGCACAAACTATGTAGGCGACAATTTCAATTTGTTTATCGTATTTGTTGTAATCGTGAAATAACTCAAACATATACGTTTTTTTTTTCTGTCCTCTGATAAGCATTGTTTTGTACTGTCGTTCCCGAAAGATAGATTGAATGCACTGTCAGTGAGTAAACGCTCTCTGTGATTGATTGGTTCTGTCTTGCAAAATTTGCGTGTGTTCAGATGAGCAGGAAAGTAGTTCCATCTTACACAATTACTCGCTAACATAGGTTATTCATCCAATTTAATGCATATTGTACGCTTTAATTTTTTTGTTAAATAAACTAAATCACTGGTAAATAAAACGCACCTTAGTATCAATATTTTTAATTTGAGTATCAATACTTTCGATACTCACATCAGTATCGATATATCGATACTTCAGGATTGATATGCCCATCCCTAAGGGCAACCAGCTATCGCTGTAGCTGAATAAAAAGAAGATAGAAACACTTCTGTCGTTAATTACTCTCCCTCAGTTCTTTCCAAATCCTGTAAGACCTCCGTTCATCTTCGGAACACAAATTAAGATATTTTTTGTTGAAATCCAAGAGCTCTCTGACCCTCCATAAAGAGCAAAGGTATTTCTAAGTTCAAGGTCCAGAAAGGTACCAAGAACATCGACAAAATAGTCCACGTGACATCAGTGGTTCAACCGTAATTTTATGAAGTTATGAGAATAGTTTTTGTGCGCAAAAAAAATTAAAATAACGACTTTATTCAACAATTCTTCTCCAAATCACGTCTTCCGCTATTATCGAGAGTACCTCTGCCTGAAAACAACTCTTGTGCGTGGTCCTGCTGACGTAGATCACGCATGCGCTGTGCATTGTTTAGTGCAGAGGAAAGCAATGCGCATGCGTCGTGGTACTCTCGATAATGGTGGCAGAGAGTGACTCGGGGGGAGAAGAATTGTTGAATAAAGTTGTTATATTTGTTTTTTGTGCACAAAAATTATTCTTGTAGCTTCGTAAAATTAGGGTTGAACCCCTGATGTCACATGGATTATTTTAATGATGTCCTTACTACGTTTCTGTGCCTTGATCGTGGTAGGACCCTTGCTGTCTATGGGAGGGTCAGAGAGCTCTCGGATTTCATCAAAAATATCTTAATTTGTGTTCCGAAGATGGGTTTGGAACGACATGAGGGTGAGTAATTAATGACAGAATTTTCATTTTTGGGTGAACTAACCCTTTAATGAAGGTCAAAATCACATCAATAGGTTAGAACACACTAAAACCTGCTGTTCTTACTAGTCCTGTGTCAAAGGTCGTGTGTGTGAGTCTGTCCGTGTTCAGACTCTGACACTGAGCTGGTGCGAGTGTGTCGTAGCGGAGATGTTGCCCGCTGGACACTGTGTGCGTGTGTGTGTGTGTGTGTTTCACTGGATAACCTCGTCTGGAATGTGCAAACACACCCAAGAGAAACACGACTCCCTTCTCAGTGAACAAGAACATGCGGAGGAGAAACTCACAGCAGAAAACCATCATTCAAAACAGATTTTCATGAAGGAAAAACGAGCATTTATCCATTTAAACATGCTGCCATGGTGTGCGCCAGGTTGTTGCTATGCAGTTGCTAAGGTGTTCGGAGTGTGCTAGTGTTGTTATTACTATGGTTTTCAGAATGGTTGCTTGTTGCTGCATGCAATCCCTAAGGTGTTGCTAAGATGTTCTGAGTGGTTACTATGCAGTTGCTAGGGCGCTGTGAGCAGGGTATTGCTAGGATATTCTGCGTGGCTCTTAGACAGTTAAGAGGGTGTTTTGGATGGTTGCTGGGGCTTTGTTAGGTTGTTTTTTAATGTTGTTAAGGTGTTCTTAGCATGTTACTATGGTTTCTATGGTGCTGTGAGGAGTCACATTACTAGGATGTTTTGAGCGGTTGCTATGCAGCTGCTAGGGCATTGCAGAGTGGCATCATGGTGTTCTGGTTGTGTGTGGTGGTTGCTTGAGTGTTGCAAAGGTGTTATAAAGTTACAGTGTTTTTCACAGTGGTTGCTATGGTGCTGTTAGTAGTCCCTACGATGTTGCTAGGAAGTTCTGGGTGGTTGCTAGGCAGCTGCTATGACATTTCTATAGATGTATGCCAGATTGGTAGGCCATTTCTATGCAATTCCATGTAGGTTGTTATGCTACTGCTAGGTAGTTGCTAGGGTGCTGGGAGCAGTCCTTATGGCATTGCTAGGATGTTGTAATTGGTTGTTAGGGTGCAGTATTATTAGGTGGTTACTATAGTATTCAGGATAGAGCGTTGTTAGGATGTTCTGAGTGGTTGCTAAGAGCTTGATACAACATTGCAGGGCAGTGCTTTGGTGTTCTCAGTGGTTGTCAGGCTGTTGCTATGCATTTGCTAAGGTGTTTTGAGTGTTTGTTAGCATATTACAAAGTGTTTAATAAGGTTAGTGCTCTAAATGGTTGCTAGGCAGTTGCTAGGGCATTGCCAGGCAGTGCTGCAGTATTCTAAATGGTTGCTAGGGCACTGCCAAGCAGTGCTGCAGTGTTCTAAATGGTTGCTAGGTAGTTGCTAGGGCACTGCCAGGCAGTGCTGTAGTATTCTAAATGGTTGCTAGGGCACTGCCGGGCAGTGCTGCAATGTTCTAAATGGTTGCTAGGGCATTGCCAGGCAGTGCTACAGTATTCTAAATGGTTGCTAGGGTACTGCCGGGCAGTGCTACAGTATTCTAAATGGTTGCTAGGGCATTGCCAGGCAGTGCTACAGTATTCTAAATGGTTGCTAGGGCACTGCTGCAGTGTTCTAAATTGTTGCTAGGGTGTTATTAGAATTTGATGTTGCCGTGTAAAACAGCACTTGTACTTTCTCTGTTTGGGATGTTAATTGGAGTGTTTTGAGGATGTTTTGGGAAAGTTCCACACATCGGTCTGACCTCACGACCCTCAGGATCCGTTTCCCACCAGCACGTGTGACGCTCTACGCTCACGCATTGTTTCCGTGGAAATATCGGTCTTCAGGTACACATCCTGTTTCTGTGGCGACCCGCTGTTTGGGATGTTAATTGGAGTGTTTTGAGGATGTTTTGGGAAAGTTCCACACATCGGTCTGACCTCACGACCCTCGGGATCCGTTTCCCGCCAGCACGTGTGACGCTCTACGCTCACGCATTGTTTCCGTGGAAATATCGGTCTTCAGGTACACATCCTGTTTCTGTGGCGACCCGCTAACCGTGTGGCACGCGACCCCTCAAAACACAACACGCCTCGCCTTTCCTCACACACACACACACACTCACACACACATCCTGCCAACACACACACACTCAATACAGAGATCAAACAGACTGTCATGAATGAGACACACACACACACTTCAGATCCACTTCCTTCACTTCCTTAATAAAGCGCACAAGAAAAAAAAAAGTAACTTTCCTTAATGTTTTCATAAATGTCTCCCCCCTTTTTGAATCTATTTTCATGAGAATTTCCAAAACTGATCAAACCTGCATGAAATCGAGTCCAGCATTGGTATCAGTTATTGGTAACTAAACCGAAACTATTAAAAAAGTTTGTAAATTGAAATAAAGCTGAAACAAAATAAAATATTAGTTTTAAATGGAAAACTAAACTAAACAAAAAATGAAATGAAAATTAGAAATGTTCTGTCCAGGCAACAAAGTGAAATAAAATAATTTTAAATTGATGAACACTAAATACTAAATAGAACTATAAAAACTAATAAATAAGACAAAAACACTTAATAAAACAAACTAACATTAAAATAAAATAAAAACAAGGCAGGTTTTGTCCACCAGTTATTGTAACAAATAAAACAAATGTAGATAAATAAAATAAAACTTGTATTGATGCATCTTTCACAATAAGATCAATAACATGCATTTAGAAAAGGAATGTATTTTTGATGAGTGTGAGACCTGTGTGAGGAGCTGCTCTGGACTCAGAGAGTTGATCCACCTGGTGTAACGTTCAGTGGAGCCTTCAGGAACACGACACACTTTACAACCCACAATCTGACAAAACACACACACACACATTAGTGGCAAATATGGGATATAGTGTGTTTTTTTTTTTTTAAAGAAATAAATACTTTTATTCATCAATGATGCATTAAAGTGATCAAAAGTAACAGTGAAGACGTTTATAAAGTTACGAGATTTCTACATTTATAAATGTGTGTTTGTAGAGTAAAGACAGGGCAGATTACAACACAAACTCAAGTTACACCCTAAACCAGCACACACACACCTTCACCAAAACACAACAGCCGCTTTCACTGGTCCGCCTCATTTCCTGTCGTGCTTGCTCTGGACTCAGAGAGTTGATCCACCTGGTGTAACGTTCAGTGGAGCCTTCAGGAACACGACACACTTTACAACCCACAATCTGACAAAACACACACACACACATTAGTGGCAAATATGGGATATAGTGTTTTTTTTTTTTTAAAGAAATAAATACTTTTATTCATCAATGATGCATTAAAGTGATCAAAAGTAACAGTGAAGACGTTTATAAAGTTACAAAAGATTTGTGTTTGTAGAGTAAAGACAGGGCAGATTACAACACAAACTCAAGTTACACCCTAAACCAACACACACACACCTTCACCAAAACACAACAGCCGCTTTCACTGGTCCGCCTCATTTCCTGTCGTGCTCTGTTTGTGTAGCACCGCAGCTCTTCAGTCTGTTGCCGCTCCGCCCGCTGTGACCCGGGGTCAGAGGTCAAAGCAACAAACCCAGCCCTCAAAAAACAATGTAAAAATAACTGCTGGCCCTCCTGCTGATGCTTCTTATGGAAAATACACTAGACCATGTTTACGGTCACGCTGTTTCAATTTCCTTCATATTTCAAATAATGTGAAATATTATTACAATTTAAAATAGCTGTTTTCTATGTGAATATCTGTTAAAAGTGTAATTTATTCCTGTGATCAAAGCTGAGTTTTCAGCATCATTACTCCAGGCTTCAGCGTCACATGATCCTTCAGAATTCATCCTAATATGCTGATTTGAGCTCAAGAAACATTTCTGATTATTATCCATAGTATATTTTTGTGAAAACTGATACTTATTTTATTTTTCAGGATTCGCAGATGAATAGAAAGTTCAAAAGTATTAACCTTCTGTAACATTATAAATGTCTTTACTGCCACTTTTGATCAATTGAATGCATCACTGATGAATGAGAGTGTTCATTTCTGTAAAACAGAGCGTCATTACTCACTGCGGCTGGATTCGCTGCAGCAGCTTCATACTGTAGTCGAACTCTCCGAGGCCTCATGACGTCATCCTGAAACACACACCATCATCCTCATCATCATCATCATCCTCACAAGCATCAGTCAGGAAGTGTGTCCTGATGTGCACATGTAGCTTAAAAGACACAAAACATAAAAATGAACACACTATACTTTAAATCAACAACATAAATACATACAAGGACAAAATGATTGCACTTTCTTATTTTTAAATATTCAGTGATTTTTAAAGCAGAGTGACGCATTCGGTTCACATGTGACCATATCATAATCTCCATCAGCGGATCATCGGGAGGTGTTTTATAGAAAGCAGCATTTGGTTTTCTCCTAAGGAATCTGTGTTTTAGTCCCGGCAGCTCTGCGATCTGGCGCTCCAGGAGGAGAGCAGGATTCCTGCCGTTCCTCTGAACCTCAAGGAGAGCTGGTTTTGGCCTCTGGACACCAGCACACGGAAAAATCCCTCCCGAATAACCGGCCATAAAACCACCATCTGAGTAAAGCCAACAGCACTAATGGAGCTACATCTGTAGGGGTGTGTGTCAGGATTATGAGAGGCGTAAATCACAACCAGACACACCAAAAACACCCACAAACAGCAGAAATTACAGTAAAGTGAGAAGTAGAAATCATCTGGACTTTTTTTCAGTTATTACTAAACGATTTCATCCAAAAATTAACATTCTAGCATGATTTATTCAGCCTTATCCGTTATTTTAAAAGTATCTATGTTTTATATATACAGTGGGTACGGAAAGTATTCAGACCCCCTTAAATTTTTCACTCTTTTTTATATTGCAGCCATTTGCTAAAATCATTGAAGTTAATTTTTTTTCTTCATTAATGTACACACAGCACCCCATATTGACAGAAAAACACAGAATTGTTGACATTTTTGCAGATTTATTAAAAAAGAAAAACTGAAATATCACATGGTCCTAAGTATTCAGACCCTTTGCTGTGACACTCATATATTTAACTCAGGTGCTGTCCATTTCTTCTGATCATCCTTGAGATGGTTCTACACCTTCATTAGAGTCCAGCTGTGTTTGATTATACTGATTGGACTTGATTAGGAAAGCCACACACCTGTCTATATAAGACATTACAGCTCTCAGTGCATGTCAGAGCAAATGAGAATCATGAGGTCAAAGGAACTGCCTGAAGAGCTCAGAGACAGAATTGTGGCAAGGCACAGATCTGGCCAAGGTTACAAAAAAAATTCTGCTGCACTTAAGGTTCCTAAGAGCACAGTGGCCTCCATAATCCTTAAATGGAAGACGTTTGGGACAACCAGAACCCTTCCTAGAGCTGGCCGTCCGGCCAAACCGAGCTATCGGGGGAGAAGAGCCTTGATGAGAGAAGTAAAGAAGAACCCAAAGATCACTGTGACTGAGCTCCAGAGATGCAGTCGGGAGATGCCGTACCCACTGTATATATATATATATATATATATATATATATATATATGTGTGTGTGTGTGTGTGTGAGTTATATCATAGTATTTGTTTACACTACATTTTAATAATATATTATTTTAATAATGTATATTTACTATACAATATTTAATATTTTGAATTAGCTTTTATTTTTATATTTTCTGTTTCAATTTATTTTAGGTTTAGAATTTATCTTATGCGCTTTTTGTTGTTTGTATTAGTTTTTCCTTTCTGAAATATTTCTATTTATCCTTAATTTGTATTTATTTTGGTTTTAATTTGAGTAATTGCAGTATTTCAACTTTAGTTAACTTAAGTTTCTCTTTTTTTTTTTTCACCTACTATTTCTATTATATCATTTCAGCAAATCTGAATAGCTTTAGTTACTAAATCTAAGCTATTTAAATAGATAAAAAATATTTAAGACATTATCTAAAATAAAATTATTAAAAAACTAATAAAATACGTATAATTAAGAAATAAAAATAAATATTTAACAGTTAAAAATCCAAATAATTAATTAATTAATTAATTAATTAATAAGTGACATAGTATTGTGTAAAAATAATAAGTAAAGAGAACTCAAGAGAACGAATAAAATAAAATGAATACATTCAAGTTCAAGTTGAGCTTTATTGTCATCCCGCTACATCTGTGGACATACAGTGGTGCCTCACAGGACCACGGTGCTACATAAATACAGACATACAACAATGAAGTAAAACAGTACACCTATACACAACTAGCCTGACTGATTTTGACTATGAATATACTATATCTAAATGTTTACCTATACATAAACTAAAAAATATATATATACAAACTATACGAATGCTTCACATAAATACCGTACATGTGCAAAGACAAACATCGTAAGTCAAGCAGCCGGCTGGGGAACAGTGCAAGATGGTTTGTAGTGCATGAGCATGTAAACACGCATATTACTGAGTCTTTTGTGGGATTATGTACACACAGCAGTGTGTGAAAAGTGTCTAGTGCGCATAGAGGAGAGTGTGTTACTACAGGTGCTTGTACAGGCCCACTCACCTGTGTGTAGCACACTTCGAATTGCACGAGAAAAAATAAATAAAAATAAACTGAATCTATATTCTATTAAAAATAAAAATAAAAATAATAACAAATAATAAAGCCATTTTAGACATGGAGTTTGTTTTCGTGTGTTTCTAATAAAAGCTACTGGTACTATAACTTGAATTAACAAACAAACAAATAAATACATTGACAAAGAACTTTGATGAAGACCCCATTATCATGATTTTACAGCAGTTACTCGAAATTGCTGTAAATTACGTTTACCATGGCTTATTATAAACCGAGTAATTTTCGAGGTGTTTATGCTATTTGTAAAAACACACACGTATAGATTTGTATATTTAAGCAGTAGCAAAGTAGCTGGATGTAAAACGGGGATTAATCCAGAGGCGACACACGAGCAGAAGTAAAGCACATCAGGGATGATTTAGCAGAGCACATCTGGGGTCATCCTGATAAAATGCTGTGTATATTAAATGTTTTTGTGGATATATAAAGTTTGGGATGCTTTTATTCAGCAAGGATGCAAAAAAACTGATCAAAAGTGAGAGTAAAGACGCATAATGTTAAATAAGATTTCTATTTCAAATAAATGCTGCTCTTTTGAACTTTCTATTCATCTGTGAATCCTGAAAAATAACATGCATCATGGTTTCCACAGAAATATTGGGCAGCGCAACTGTTTTCAACATTGATAATAAACAGAAATGTTTATTGAGCAGCAAATCAGCATATTATTATGATTTCTGAAGATCATGTGACACTGAAGACTGGAGGAATGATGCTGGAAATTCAGCTGCGCATCACAGAAATAAATTACAGTTTAGTTTTTTTTCAACTGCTTACACAGTTTCTGAAAGCTGACACTCAACCAGCAGAAGCACACACCAAATCTGCAAAACCATACACTAATGCTCGGCCTTTGACTCAGTTTTCAATTTCATAAAACACTTTTTGCAAAACACAGCACACAATTCTCTATGTAGCACACACAAATCTAACAGGAATTAATATTATGGCAAATGTTTGCTTTTGAGATGTGTTTGTGATGTTTTGAATGCAGTGCTTCATTTTGCAAGAGACGTGAGGCGTTTTGCATTTTGTGTGTGCAGTTCTTGGATTTGTGTGTAAAGTTTGAGAAGCAAGCAGTTGAAAAAAACTATATCAGATATCCACATAGAAAACTGTAATAATATTTCACAATTTGACTGCATTTTTTGGGTAAAAAAGTATATGAAATATGAAATATTTTTACTAATTTCTTGTTTCTGTGCACAGGGCATTATCTGCATCCAGAGAGATTTAGAGAAGGGGAAATGAGAGATTTGATGAAGATACTTTGGTTCCTCTCAATCTCTCCAGGAGAGACAGTCCTCTGAACCTGTCTATGACGACTCGATCAGACACCCAATCACTGAGCAGTCTGAGGAATGAGGGGATTGTGGGTTCAGTGACGATCATTTACCTGTCCGTTTCACACCTGAGCACAAACATCACTTACTCTGATTCAAGTGTCTGTCGACCTCAGTCCGAAGTCCAGCATCTGATGCGAGAGAAACAGCTTCACTGACTCTAAAACAGCTCCAGATGTGAAATCAGGTGTAGGTGTAGAAGACTCCGCCCCTTCCGCTTCAGAATTCTCCGCCCCCTCATCAAATATTCAGCATCAGACACAGACAAAAAGACACGGAAAACACAACCTGAAGAGAAAACAGACGAGCAGCCGAAAGCAAACAAAATACTGTTACAAATAATAAAATAAAAAAATTTGAACAAAAAAATTTGATTAAAATAATTTTTTTTAATGATTTTGAGATTTTAAATGAACTAAAATACTTAAATGAATAAATACATAAATAAACCAAGAATATCTAACTAAAGTACTATAGCAAGTAGAAAAAAACAACAACAACAAAACAGTGAAAGATAACTAATTATTTTCCAAATAATATTTTATACATATTTAATTTTTACAGTAAAAAATTGGGTCTTTAAACATGAAAATATATATCTGTATTTTAAATTTTATAATAGGGTTCTTTTACATGAGGATGATTATATTTTTGGGGTCCGTGGCATCTAAAAGATTGAAAACCCCAACTGGAAAATAATTTTTGGGTCAGAGCATGTTATCGTATTTTGATTATGACCAAAGGTTTTTGAAATAACATGCACTGATGACATAATAGGTGCACAATAACACCAGGATTGTGTGTTAGGAAAGTAAACAGAGTCAGTTTTGATTTCATGTTGACTTTAAGCTCGATATAAATGTGATAATCCAGGCTGAGCTATTATCACGCAGAATACAGACGAACGAACGCACGTACGTTAATAAAACCAGCCAGCATTAAATGTGTATCGTCGTACTGGAAAAGTACTTTCACTAAAAACAGTCCTGAAATTGTTCTTTAGGCTTCAGATCAGCTCTTCGGTCCATTTACACTGAAACTGAATCACTATAATCCAGTTCCAGTCTTCATTTCCCATTCTTTAGGCTTTAAATCAACTATTCAGTCTGTTCAAACTAAAACCAAATCACTATACTATAGTTTCAGTCTCCATTTCGCACTATTTTGGCTTTAGATTAGCTTTTCAGTCTGTTCACACTGAAACCAAATTTTTGTAATCCAGTTTCAGTATCCATTTCCCATTCGTTTGACTTTAAATAAGCTCTTCAGTCTGTTCACACTGAAACCAAATTGCTGTTATCCAGTTTCAGTATCCTTTTCTCATTCTTCAGGCTTTAAATCAGCTCGTCGGCCTGTTTACACTAACCAAATCACTATAATCTAGTTTCAGTCTCCATTTCTCATTCTTTTGGCTTTAAGTCAGCCTTTCAGTCAGTTCACACTGAAACCAAATGGCTGTTATCCAGTTTCAGTATCCTTTTCTCATTCTTTAGGCTTTAAATCAGTTCGTCGGCCTGTTTACACTGAAACCAAATTGCTGTAATTCAGTTTCAGTTTCCATTTCCCATTCTTTAGGCTTTAAATCAGCTTGTCGGCCTGTTCACACTGAAACCAAATTGCTGTTATCCAGTTTCAGTATCCTTTTCTCATTCTTCAGGCTTTAAATCAGCTCGTCGGCCTGTTTACACTAACCAAATCACTATAATCTAGTTTCAGTCTCCATTTCTCATTCTTTTGGCTTTAAGTCAGCCTTTCAGTCAGTTCACACTGAAACCAAATGGCTGTTATCCAGTTTCAGTATCCTTTTCTCATTCTTTAGGCTTTAAATCAGTTCGTCGGCCTGTTTACACTGAAACCAAATTGCTGTAATCCAGTTTCAGTTTCCATTTCCCATTCTTTAGGCTTTAAATCAGCTTGTCGGCCTGTTCACACTGAAACCAAATTGCTGTTATCCAGTTTTAGTATCCTTTTCTCATTCTTTAGGCTTTAAATCAGCTCGTCGGCCTGTTTACACTAAAACCAAATCACTATAATCTAGTTTCAGTTTCCATTTTCCATTCTTTTGACTTTAAATCAGCTCTTCAGTCAGTTCACACTGAAACCGAATTGCTGCAATCCAGTTTCAGTATGGTTTCAGAGGAAACTGCGGTTCCTCAGAGGAAGGGGTTGTGGCTTTGGCCGGGGTGCTGTGTTTGTCGGGTGGAGGGTGTGAGGGGCAGCAGTGGCTGCGGCAGGTTGCTGGGCAGGTCCAGCAGGCCGTGGGGCGGCTGTGTGAAGGACGAGGGCAGAGTCTGGGGCTTCTGCTGCAGGACGGGCAGAGGGAGGGAGGCGCTGTAGGACAGAGCGTGAGCCGGCAGCGGCGACGTGGAGTGAGGACGCATCTGATTCAGAGTCAGTCTGGGCTGCTCACAGTGGAAGGGGTTTGTGGGAGATGGTGTGCTCAGACCTGCACGGGTCACAAAATATCATTAGACTCTTCTGCCCAACAAGGCTGCATTTATTTGATTAAAAATACTGTAAGAACATTGTGAAATATTATTACAATTTAAAATAACTGTTTTCTATGTGAATATCTGTTAAAGTGTAATTTATATCTGTTATCAAAGCTGAATTTTCAGCATCATTACTCCAGTCTTCAGTGTCACATGATCTTCAGAAATCATTCTAATATGCTGATTTGCTGCTTAAGAAACATTTCTGATTATTATCAATGTTGAAAACAGTTGTGCTGCCCACTATTTCTGTGGAAATTTTTCAGGATTCACAGATGAATAGAAAGTAAAAAAAAACAGCATTTATGAGAAATATAAATATTTTGTAACATTACAAATGTCTTTACTGACACTTTTGATCAATTTAATACATCCTTGATGAATAAACACATTTCTCTGAGAAAAAAAAGAGGGAAAAAAATTACTTATACCAAACTTCATATACATGAGAACCAGAACTGCATGATATATTAAAACTTTTTATATAATCTATTTATCTTAAATTGAGTTTATTTCTTCTTTTCCAATGGCAAATCGTTTTCACTGGTTTTAAGCATAAATCTCATTAAATTGTGTTAGATTAATGCCTAAAATAAAGAAATAACTATTGTGCATTCACCTCACTTTTATATATTTTAAAACAAAATGTTCTTCTTTAAAATATACTGACAAAATGTAGATTTTCTCATTAAAGCAACTTTGTAAAACAACTCTTTTTATCACTATTTACTCAATGCTGAAAAGGTGAACGTTAAGAAAACAAATAAAATATATTATGTATTATATCTGATAAAAAAAGACATTCAAAAAGCTTTTTTTTATATATAAAATGCAAGTCATGATGACCTGCAAAATATGCTAATTGTTCTTTTAAGGTCTAAATTAAATTGTAAGGAGTGATTTTGCACTGGAAATGTAAGTGCTTAAGAGTACTCAGTTTGAAATAAAAGTATTTGGCTTCAAAAGCATTTAAGAAAAATATAAATTCCCCAAAATAATAAGCGTGTCTGAGTGTGTGTTTTCCTACCTGACAGGAAGGGGTTTTTGCTCTTGACCGGTGGGTTGGTGGGAATGAGCGTGTCCAGGTTGACGAGGGAGGCAGCAGTGGGGCCGAGGAACGCCTCAGGGGTCCGGCACTGTCTAGGGCTCACTGCGTCCAGAGGAGGCCCAAGACGAGAGAGGTCAAAGGTCTCTGGACTGTCATTCCCCCGTCCATTCACTTGAACACCCACCACCAACTCACCGAACTGATCGGCATCTGAAATGAGAGATGTGAATGAGCTTCAGCTTGACTCAGAGAGGAAAACGATTGTGAAGAGGGTCTGGTTTGGTGTGATGAGGACCTGCAGGACTCTCACAGCGAGGACTGAACACTTGGTTTGGCTCCGCCTGCTCCACTATAGGCTCCTCCCCCTCCACTATAAGCTCCTCCTCCTCTGGAATAGTAAATGGGTCCTTCACACTCGACACTGGAATGAAGTGCAAAGAATCTAGAGATGGATCTCTAGCGCTACAAATATTTACTTATTTAAAGTGAAAAATTGTGCCTATCTTCTTGCAATTTCAAGTTTCAAATAAATAATAACGGCAAGATATAAACCCGCAATTCTGAGAAAAAAGTTTTCGCGAGTTTGAGATAAAAAGTCACAATTACAAATCAAAATGCATCTCACTTTGGTTTTTAACATGAGGTGTTGTACCTGGTCGCGCTGGGCTCCTCCATCTAGCTTTTTCATCTATGTTAGAGGTGGAGTTTGAAGGCGGGGCATCCCAGGGGTCAGGAGGTGATTGGTGGGTTCCCCATGGGTGGGCGGGGCTACTGGAGGAAGAGCGGGCCGTCCAGGGACTATCAGTCACCGGGTTACTAGACTTAACTACAGCTGAATCAAACAACCAAATCAAAATACATCCGCACAAAGAATCCTTGAATATTTTTGTCTTACAGTTGAGTTAAAATATCGAAAAACCCCCCCAAAACAAAATGTATTTTTTTGATATCTTTATGTTCTACCATGAAATGTGGTTCAAATAATCAGTCAGTTGCTATTTCAATGTTTATAGAAATATTTAAACAATGCAGAAACAACGTTTAATGCTAAATAGTTTAAACCAGTTAACGAAACACTAATAAATCAATGTTGAAATTTTAAAATTTTTTACATTTAAATAAAAAAACCTAAAGAAGCGCTCACACTGTGACCGCAAGATAATGTAAAGATATTTTACTTGACCAATGTTCGAAATGCGGTTGAAATAATGTCAGTTGTTGTTTCAATGTTGATACAAATTTGTTGAAACAACATTTAATGGCAAATAGTTTTAGAAGGTTTACAAAATATTGATGAATCAACTTTCTAACAACATTTTAACAAGATCTATATGAAAAATAAGACGTTTATTTGATAAAAAAAAAAAAAAACATCAGTGCACTGCCAAAAAGTATTTTTGTCTTACTTCTCAAATACAAAGTCTAAAAATCCTTAAAACACAATACATTTTTGGGATACGTTTATTTTGACCTTTTTACTTTTTAAGAACAAATCAACATCTATAACATTGATTAACCCATGAATGAATGATGAAATTGTGACTGGGAAGTCAAAAAAGACTAAATAAACTAATTAAAAAGTTTTTTTTCTCTAGTTTTACAGTTTACATAATTTTTAGATATTTTACTTGACCAACCGTCTACGTTGAAATGTGGTGGAAATAATCTCAGATAATGTCAGTTTCAGTGTAGATAAAAACATTAAAACTATGTTTATTGCTAAATAGATTTAAAGGGTTAACAAAACACTGATACATGAAAGTTGTACATTTTAAAGTACATTTTACTTGACTGACATTCTACGTTGAAACGTGTTTGAAATAATGTCAGTTGTTGCTTGAACACTGATCAAAACGCTGAAACAATGTTAAATATTAATGTTAAAATGTTTAACGTTAAAAGGTTATCAAAATACTAATAAATCATCATTTGTAGAAGTGTTCGCACTGTGACCGCAAGATATATGCAGTGATGTTGAGGCATCGCAAACTCTTATTATAACTGATGGACTGTGATTCACAGTACTGAGAGCGCTCATCACTGACCGACAGACTCCCAGGGGTCAGAGTTCACGGAGCAGGTGGGCGGGGCGTCCCAGGGGTCGTCGCTGACCTGCGCGGCAGGCGTGGGACCGAATATATCCACCAGATCGATCATGGCCGACTGCGAGAGGAAATCAACGGTGAGCCGCTCTGAAGATCAGCAGATCATGCAGGTGTTGAGTGTCTCTCTCACCTCTGAAGGCCGCGGGTCTCGCTCGCCCTTACTCTCCTCCAGGGCCTCCTGCAGAGGAGCGTCGTCCCCCTGATGGCTGCACTGCTCCTTCAGGAGACAAAACAAGCTCAGCACCTGAAGCTGAAGCCGATGCTGTTCATTAGTGCAAGGATTAATTAGGATGAAAAGAGCAGGAGGTTAATAAGCTCCGTGACATTCACAGGACATCCACAGACAACACTGCAGGAGAAATACCGCTAGAGATTAGAGAAGAAATAGTTAGTACAAGCTAGACAAAGAAGTTAAAACGTGCAAAATACAGAAAAAAAGATAGAAATTGTAAAGGTTAAAAATCCGTCTTAATAGTTTAATCCAGTGCTTCTCAAGCTTTTTGACTGAAGGGCCCACGGTGGCCAACATATTGGCTTGTTTTTATTTAGATATTGGCTAACTTTTTTATTAACAGGAACACTAGGAGTATTGATATATTATGTAATATTGTATTAAAATAATCAACTATGATTCATTTTGTGACTTGAGAAGTTTCAAGAACTGCATGCTCTTCAATTAAAAGAAACAGTTATTGTGAGGGGGAAGTATTTTTTTGTATAATTTATTATTTTGATTATATTATAATGATACTGTCAGTCTTTTGGACCCGTTTTGCCCCCGTAGTTCTTCCTGTGTTTCCTTATATGGTCTTTTTCCTGTTCTTGTTTAGTTTGATTGCTTTATGATTCCTTGCACCTGTGTTGAGTTCCTTATTATCCTGTGTATATAAGTTCCTGTTTGCTCTGTGTTCCTTTGTCGGATCTACTCGTTAGTTACGTGTGTTTGTGCTTTTCCTATGTTGGATTATTCCCCTGCGTTTTCATCATTAAAGACAATTAAAGTTTATTCATGCCTCCCACGTGCTTCCAGCAAGACACACGTGACAGAAGATCCGACCAAACAAGATGACTGCAGCTGAAGACAGGCTTTGGTGTCTGCGGCAGGGTGGTCGGGAGTTGGAGAGGTAAGTAGAGGAGTTCCTAGAGCTCTCCAACCAGGTGATCTGGTTCGACGCCGCTCTATGTGTCTGTTTTTGGCTGGGGCTGGATGATGACGTAATTGGCTGCGATCTTCCCACGTAGTTTTCCCCTGATCGAGTTGGTTAATCATGTCCTTTATTTAAATGGTGTAAGTCTCAAAGTAGAAGAGGTTCAGAGCGATCATCATCCAAGCCCTCCCGAGAAGCACCGGGCCTCGCCAGCTCACCCCTCGCCAGGACCCTCCACATACCTGGCCAAATGTTCCGACCACCCATCTCCTCCCAGCACCATCTCTGTCCTCAGCCTAGAAACGCCGGCCATGCCGTTGTCAAGTCCGCCCGCCGCGGCTCCCACAAGCCTGCCGGCCGCTCCTGAGTTAAGTTCGCCGTGTGGGGGGCTCCAGCCCCAGAGCTCACTCCCGTGTGTGGGCTCCATCCCCAGAGCTCACTCCCGTGTGTGGGCTCCATCCCCAGAGCTCACTCCCGTGTGTGGGCTCCATCCCCAGAGCTCACTCCCGTGTGTGGGCTCCATCCCCAGAGCTCGCTCCCGTGTGAGCTCCATCCCCAGAGCTCGCTCCAGTGTGGGCTCCATCCCCAGAGCTCGCTCCAGTGTGGGCTCCATCCCCAGAGCTCGCTCCAGTGTGGGCTCCATCCCCAGAGCTCGCTCCAGTGTCAGCCCCAGCCCCAGAGCTCACTCCAGTGTTAGCCCCAGCCCCCGCTCCAGTGTCGGCTCCAGCCCCAGAGCTCACTC